GAGAGAGAGAGAGAGAGAGAGAAAGAAAGAAAGAAAGAAAGAAAGAAAGAAAGAAAGAAAGAAAGAAAGAAAGAAAGAAAGAAAGAAAGAAAGAACTACAGTAACACCCATAAAACCCTTTCACTTCTCTGACCCCTCAGCAGCACCCAGTGCTTGCAGTGAGTACTCAGTGGCTGTGCTCACGCTGGCTGAGGGAGACAACAGGTGGGCCAGAGCCCTGGCCTAATCCAGAGTTGGCACAAACAGCAGAGCCAGCCGGCTTCGTCTGACCCTGCTCTCCCCGGTCCTTCCCACCCTGGAGAAGCCAGGGTCCAGCTGCAGAAGGGAGGCCCTCACCCCCCCATACTCCTCTCACCCACTCAGAAATAAAGAAAGGAGCTGTCATAAGGAACCTTGGCCCCTCCTCTGCCGGTTGGGGACAGAATGGGATCTAGATGGAGGGGGGGGTGCGGCAGAGGGGGACCACACACTGCTTGCTCTTTCCACGGTAAAATGTGTAGGAAGCCCATACATGCAGGGTCAAGGATAAGAGGCAGAAGCAGGCTCCATGGCTTACACCTGCAGACCCTTCATTTGCAAAGCTGAAGCAGGAATGTCAGTTCCAGGCCAGCCTGGACTACATAGCAAGACTATGTTTTGTTTTGTTTAAATAAGTTCAAATGACTTCGAAGCCCTCCTCCATTTTATTTTATTTTATTTTATTTTATTTTATTTTATTTTATTTTACTTTATTTTATTTTATAGTGCTGAGGTGGGATCCAGGGCCTAGTTTCATATTAGGCAAGGGTTCTGTCTCCAAACTACACCACCAGCACCCAATTATTATAGTTTTGTTTGTTTATTTGTTGCGTTTGAGACAGTCTCACTATTTGCTCAGGGTAGCCTTGAACTCCAGGCTCGGGCTAGACTCTTGCTTTACTCTCCCACAGGTGTACCAGTGTATTTTTTTATTTTAGGTGGATTCTTACCTGTCTGTGTATCTCTATACAACATTTTTTAGGATGCTAGTCTTTTGGGGGGGGTTGTTTTGTTTTGGGGGGGTGTAGTTGTTGTTCAGTTTTTTGAGAGAGGGTTCCTCTGTGTAGCCCTGGCTATTCTGGAACTCCCTCTGTAGACCAGGCTGGCCTCAAACTCACAGAGATCCACTTGCCTCTGCCTCCTGAGGACTGGAATTAAAGACGTGTATCACCACTGCCCGGTTGGATGCTAGTTTTTTGTTTGTTTGTTTGTTTGTTTGTTTGTTTGTTTGTTTTTGTTTTTTGGGTTTTGGTTTTTTGAGACAGGGTTTCTCTGTGTGGCTTTGGAACCTTTCTTAGAATTCCCTCTGTAGACCAGGCTGGCATCGAACTCACAGAGATCCGCCTGCCTCTGCCTCCCGAGTGCTGGAATTAAAGGCGTGCGCCACCACCGCCCGGCTGTTTGTTTGTTTTTTTACCTTTTTATAGTTGGACTCACACCGTGTGTGTGTGTGTGTGTGTGTGTGTGTGTGTGTGTGTGTGTGTGTGTCTGTGTCTGTGTCTGTGTCTGTGTCTGTGTCTGTGTCTGTGTCTGTGTCTTGCTGTCTGGTTCATCATTGTACAGTGTTACTGTTTTTCTTCCAGGCTAATGAGCAGAACTATAATCTGTTGAACTTTTTTCTTGTCTAGTGCTCCCTCATGTGGAAATTCTGCAATTGAATGTTCCATCTACTCTGATGGGCATTTGGGCGTTTCTAGTCTGAGAATGCTGTGGGGTATTACTATAGGCACCTTTTGGAGCAAGTGTGCCTCTAGGTACATCCTCAGGGATGGAATTTCTTTATTGTAGGCTATACACATGACCAACCTGAAAAGGAAATTCAAAGCTGTTTTCCACAGTGGTGGTGTGGGGTTGGGTGAGCTGGCTCAACTGTGCCCTTCCTGGCAACCTAAGTTCAACCCCTGGGACCCACGTGGTAGAGGACACCAACACCCACACGTTGTCCGATGACCTCCACATGCACACAGAACATGCACACCCACAAACATACAACACAAATACACAATAATGATGTGATTTTAAAAATTGTAAAGCAAAGTGATGGTGTATCTATATATTTTTAGACCAGCGCCTCAGGAGGTGACTCAGAACAGAGGCGGCAGGTACCCAGACCAGGGCCAGCTCCGAGTGTTTATGAATGTTCATTACTGCTTCCCTGGTCAAGCCCATAATCCACACACTCAGCCAAGCTTTCTAGACAAACGACGAAGGGTCATCCATCCACTGAGCCAGGAGTGTGGAGACAAGGACAACTCAGGCCAGACCAAACTCCGAAGGACAATTACGTGTCTGTGAACTCTGCCCGGCCGCCCAGAACTTCAGCTTGCCCTGGGGAAGAGAAGCGCTTGATTGCGGGGATGGTCTTGAAAAGAAGAAAGCCATTCCAGGCTCAGAAAGGAGCAAGCTCCCTCCTCAGAGACAGCAAGTAGACGAGGGAGTCAAGAGACTGTAGAAGAAGACCAGGGCTACTTGTGCTGACAGAGAAAGGCACACCACCAGATCATCCAAGCACACTTTGTGCCTTGTGCCTGTCTGGAGCAGACATGGGTGAGCACACACACGGACATGCATGCCGCCACACAACGCCGAGAGTCTGTCAGACACGCTGTAGGAGCAGAAGCATCGAGCGTGAACACGCAGCTGCCAGTGGGAGATAAGCCCTGGACTGGGGGGCCGCCTGCCTGGCCTGCCTGGAAAGCCACCTTATGCATCTATCTGTCTGAGCTCCCCAGGGGCAGCCTCTGCAGAGTGCTATGTTTCAGAACAGCCTGGGCACCTTGCCCCACCCTCAAGGGCTTGTTCTATTTACAGGAATGGAGTAGCAAATTCTCTCAGTCCAACTTGGGTTGTGGCTAGTGCTGGCAGCCTCAGCAGGATCAGGTATTCCGTGAGTTCCTTTAGTTGTTAAAGAAAAGTTTAATGAAATTTGCCATGAGGAACTGGGCTGGGAGTGTAATTTGGTGATAAAGTGCCTGCCTAGCATGCTTGAGGCCCTGGGTTCAGCGGATCCCTGGATCTGCAAAAAAATAAAATAAAATGAGTGAGGAAGGGAAGATAAGGGGAAGGAAGAGAAGAGAAGTGAAATGAATTTTTTAAATGGAAGAGTCTGAACAGGCAAGAAGCCAGTAAGAAGAGGCTACTGTGCTTCCGGGTCAGCCTGCAGCTTCCTGGCCAAGAGGGGAAGGGTAGAGGTCGGGGTCATTGCAAGACTGGACATAAGACAGTTTCATGTAGCTGTAGTTTTAGAGGAACTGAGGTCTGCTCCCCAATCCTGACTGTTTCCAAGGCCCTGAGCTGGCTAGTTCAGGCTAAAGAATTGACACTTAGTTAAATTCAGCAAATCCTAGTCCTTCTCAGCCCCTCTCTCCCTTCCCCCACCTGCCTCTCCCCTACCCCCCCCCCCATGCCGCTTCCCCGCCTCTGGACAGAATACATACTGTGATCTATTGAGGCTGCCAAAGGACGGGGAAACAGTCTGGCATTCAGGGGCTCCATATCCCCAGGATACCCTCCTGTCCTAGGGTTTGCCTGGCCCCAGAAAGGCAAAAGGACAAGCCGTCAACGGAAGGCAGCTGGGGCCTGTCCTGTGGCCAGGATGCCCAGGGCACACACATCTCTGTGTCCTGTTCGCTGACCTACACATAGTTGTGGCTTTCTGCTCTTGCCACGTGGTCATTCACAGAGGCAGCAACCCCTCTATTCCAGACTCCTGAGTCTGGGGAGAGGTCATGGGCATGTGGCAAGAGTTCTAGATGTTCTGTAGAGTGTGGAGCCTGTCACCAAGAAGCAAGGAGACTGTTCTCTGCAGGAGAGGCTGTTAGGTCTCCCCAGAGAGCACAGCCTCAGTCCTGCCAGGGACATCTGCCCGAGACATCAGAGCCATTACTATATGAATTCCAACAGCAGTTCCCTGACCAGAGTGTGGCCCTTCCTCGTCCATGTTCTTCTTCCACATTATCCCTCCTCTAAGGTGAGGAACCGCACTGGCCATGCTAGCTAGGTTTCTTCAGTGTCCTCTGAGAAGCTCACTCCCACCAGGAACAGCCACTCAGCACATCGCCCTACTGTCCATAGGGACACCATTGCTCCATACCTCAGAGGATGTGCCAAGGCCTCCTGTGCCCACCGCAACTTCCCACCACCCTGCTTATGGAGGTGGTTTTTTCTTTTGGCCAGCCTCTTCTCCCAGCACCCTGCCCTCAGGCCACTTAAGTGATCCGCCCAAGCTGCACCAATCCTCCGTTTAAGAACAATTGGCATTTACTGAGTTGCCACTGTGTGGTTGCCAGGGGCAATGACAAGTATTAGTTATGAAGCAGGCAGAGTTTAAAAGTTAGGACAAGAGGCTGGGCAGTGGTGGCGCACACCTTTAATCCCAGCACTCCGGAGGCAGAGCCAGGCGGATCTCTGTGAGTTCGAGGCCAGCCTGGTCTACAGAGCGAGAGCCAGGACAGGCACCAAAACTACACAGAGAAAACTGTCTCACAAAACAAACAACAACAACAACAAAGTCACTTCTTATTTCAATCACCTTATCAGTTTTGTTTTGTTGTTGTTGAAACAAGATCTTGCTATGTAACTGTAGCTGACCTGGTACTCACGATATAGCCCAGCCTAACCTGGAACTCATAGCAATCCTCCTGCCTCAGCCTCCCAAGTGCTGGTATTGCAAGCACATGCCCCTGTCTATGCTCCGCTTTAGGACTGCTGAGCTGAGGCCTGAACCGATAGCCTTGCTCATACTCTAACTGAGCTGTGTCAGCAACCCTTCAGCCAATTTTAATGGTAGTCTTTATGATCTAGCGTGAGCACTACCCCAGCCCTCTACCTGTGAGCCTTGGTATTCTTCTCCAGCACCTTATCCCTGGCTCAATGGAGTTGCTCACGCAATCTTTTTTTTTTTTTTAATTGAAGTTATTGGGTTGGGATGAAACATGATATAAAGAGTGGTCCATGCCTTTAATCCCAGCACTCAGGAGCAGAAGCAGACAGATATCTGAGTCTACAGAGTGAGTTCCAGGACAGCCGGGGCTACACAGAGAAACCCTGTCCAAGGAGAGAGAAAGAGAGAGAGAGAGAGAGAGAGAGAGAGAGAGAGAGAGAGAGAGAGAGAGAGAGAGAGAGCACGATTGCCTAGCATGCATCAGGCAGCAGTTCAACTCCAAGTATGACATTTTAAAAATTATTAATTTTGGGTCTTGAGAACAGCTTAGTACCAGGGTTCAATTCTCAGCACCCAGGTCAGGTAGCTCACAACTGCCTGTAACTCTAGCTCCAGGGAATCTGGCATCTTTGGTCCCACAGGCGCATGCACTCATGTGCAGGATATATATGCTTACATGCAATTAAAAATAAAATCTTTTTTTAAAGGTAGTTAATTTTGAGTCATTATCTCACTATACAGCCTGGAATACCCTAGAACTCTTGATCCTCCTGCCTCAGGGTACTAGAATTGCAGGCATAGACCACCTTTACAATAAATACTTGCATAATAAATGTGGTGGTAGGTTGCTGCAGACCCGATCAGAAGCATCTCTCTTCCCAAGGCCCTCCAGCAAGCTTATCTAAATGAAATCACACTGAACTGGACATCAAGGGCAGCCTTGGAGAAAGGAGGAAAAGGGTAGGCAAGGGACACTCAAGGCTTTGCCTTGAACTAAATTCTCCCTTTTTAGTCTTTCAGTGCAGCTGAAAAGCAGGTTCTGTTCACAGCACCTACCTTCTGGAGAAAGGCAGAGCCAGAATAACTTTTTTGTTGTTGTTGTTCCAATGATGGCATCCAGGGCTTTGAACAGCTGAACACATGCTTTATCATTGAACTATACCCCAAGTCCCAAACTGTAACTTGGGGGTTCAGGTTCATCAAGATTGCTGTTACTGTGTCAGACCCATAGCCTTTGTTAAGTTGTTGAGTAAGCGAAGTCAGTTGATTTTATAGCAAAAACTTTGCATCAATCTTAAAATAAATAATACGAACTACAAAAGGCAATTCAGAGGCCATGATAACGTTGCTATTACTCTGGAACACAACTGAAGTTATCAGTCAGGTCAGGGGGAGCCTAGGACAGTGGGTAGAGCTGGCACACACTGGCTGTACAAGCTAGCCTCCATGTTGATAAGGATACGCCGCATGCACCTGGCCAAGCAGATTCATACACCACAGCGTGCCTGACAGGCTTGGTTAGCCACTGAGTAACTGCCCACTGAGAACCACCATGCACAGGTATCTTGCAACCCAGGACACTGGGCATGAGTGCCCGGCAGAAGACAGGTGGTACTGAGGAGTCACGACCAGGCGGACTTTCAGAGAGGGAGGGAGAGCATCATAGGTTTAGGAGTGAGACTGAGCCCAGGAATAAGATAAGAGAGCCCCTGACTGGGGGGCCTTGAAGGCAACTCCAGATTTGGATCGTGGGGGGGGGCATGAAGAGCTTAAGCAGGCCATGGAGATGAAGTGGTGTGCTCTCTGGAATGATCCCACTGAGATCCTTCTGGCTTGGGGAGAGCAATCAGAAGTCAGGGCTTTGGGTCTCTGGGGCTGGAGAGGATGTGAAGTTGAGTCACGCAGGTGGATGGTGAGCTGTGATCATAGTGGACAGACGGGGCGATGTCTAGTGAGGAAGAGGGAAGTGCAAAAGATGACTGGGAAGTTCTTGGCTTTCAAAACTGGATGGGAGGAGGTGCCTTTGTAGCAGCAGGGGAGAGAGCAGCAGGTCCTCTTGCAGTTAGAAGTTGGGTTCGTGTATCAGAGGCTCCTCAAAGCCCCATTGTTGTTTCCGTGTCGAAGCCAGTGCAGAGGGTGGGGAAAGAGTACTTTTGATCAGGCTTTGCCAAGGGAATATTCTTTTGATAAAGAAATAGGGCAACCCACTTGCAACATTTTGCCCCAATCTCAGAGTGAAAGGAACGTTGCTCACAGCAACTTCACGTGTAAAATTCAAATGAGTTGCTAACAGACCTTTGGAAAACAGAATAGGGAACTGTTGGGTAAGCTCATTTAGGAATACATGATGCAAGAATGGTTAAAAGAGGTGAGGCTGGGAGCTGGGTGCCCAACAGTGCTGAGTACAAGTGGCCCATTGGGTAGCACAATATTTGTGACCTAGACTAGTCTCTACTGGCAGGAGCTGGTCCTGGCTCTAACTGAGAGTTCACTGAAGGGGAGGGAAGAGGGCAATAGAAACCCTGGTGATTCTCCTTCTGCTCTGGGTTTTGGAGACGAGAGAGATTGGTGGGAAAGCCTAGAGGTAGAGTCACCTTCTCTGAGAAATGAAATTAGGGTTGCCACTGAGAATATTTCTGAAAGCAAAGGAGGATGTCTGGGGCCATGAAATCAGTCTTGGTGTTGGATGGTAGAGTAGGGAAGCCATAGAAAAGCCAGCCAGACCCAGCAAAAGAAGCCACTCAGCCACTAAAGCCAGAAGGGAACATACTGCTGCAGGGTGGACAGAAAGACAGCCACAAGCACCAAGTGGCTGGGGATCCAGATGGGAGCCGATAGGGCATAGACCGAGGATGTAGTTCTGGACACAAAGCAGGCTGTAGGCGCGGCCAGATGAGAACAGGAGAAAAAGGTTCACAACTGCTAATGCTTTGGGGGGCCCTTGGCTAGGCTCAGGCACTGTTCAAAAACACTTCAAGTTTTAAGAGGACAAAGAGCTAGGACATCTATGAAGGCACTCAGTCTTCAGAGCTTGTATTCTTAACAACTATACTATGTGAAATACAGAAAATAAATAAATAAATAAAAAACAAAGATCTATAAAGGATTCAACTTCTGCTTGACCTTTATGTTAAATGCCATATCAAAAACAAACAACAACAGCAAAATCAAAGGTTTTGGAACCACTCCAAGCCTTTGTGATCTTAGAAGTCACTCAGACTGTTCATATTTCTGTCTTCTTGTTCATTTGTAAATTTGAGCATAATACCCACCAGGATTGCTGAGGTTAAATAAAGAAGCCAATTGAATGCTTGTCCTGCCTTCTGCAACATCACTGATTTTGGAGGCTCTCAGGATAATACCCATTCCAGATGTGATGTCCTCATTTTTCCAGGAGCTCCAGGTCTGTACTCATGGAACCACAGGGTATGCACCCTGGCTTCTTAATCCCCAGCCTCCATCACAGTACTTCAGGAACGAATTCTTGTTTAACATACTCCACTGTGGCATCTGAGCAGACCAGTGCCTGCTGAGGATGAGGATGTGGACCCTGGGAAGGAAGGTTGCAAGCAACCTGAATCTAGTTCATCACAGGCATTTCACACTTCTTGGAATGGTCCTCCCCTCTCACTCATGATGTTCCTTACCAATCACCTGCTGATCCTTCCACAAAAGGAGCGATCGCCTGGAAGAGCCCACAAATTCTGTTTAATGTCCCCTTCAGCAGCAGCACGGTCTTGTGGGTATTAGATAAAGTATGTTCGGTAAACTTCCGTCCCTGGGGGAATAATAAAGGTGTTTTAGAGATGGCCGTGAGTCTGCGACAAGGATCTCCAAGACGGTCCAAAATAGGTAAATGTTCCATGGCTATGAATCATAAACTTAAAACCTTCAGAGTTAAGACATCTCAAAAATACCCCAAGTGGGAAAGGAGGGACTGTGAGCAAATCAGAGTATGCCCACTCTGTAAGATGGCACTTGCTACTTCTACCTGCCTATCACTGCAATAGAATGTGAGCCAACAGTAGCAGATCTTTTGATTTTTTTTTTTTCAAGAGAAATTTGGAACTTTAAATTTCAAAAAAAAAAAAAAAACAGTCTTGGCTTTTAATTTTAGTCTTTTTTGAGAGTCCTATGAAAACCAACACTACTTGCTTGTTAGATTCTTCTAGAGACTAATTCACCTCCAAGTGGACTTGAGGGGGGGTAGAGATGAAGGGCCGTGTCCAGGGGCAAAGGCTGAAGGACTGGCCATGTTCCCTTGGGGCCAGGACTGTGCTAGACCTACAGGAAACTACAAAAGAGGATGTGGAAGCCTTAGACCTGCTCTTCAGGTGTTCATAGACTCATTATAGAGGCCCAGAAGGCAGAGGTGAGGAGCTATGTGGACTTCCTAGAACTCTGAGTTTTAGAAGATCTTTCCAGAAAGGCAGAGTTGACTTGGAGAACAGCAATTCCAGGGGCAGGAATTCAAGAGAGCTCCAGAATGGAAGCCAAAGAAATTGAACAGAAACCGGGTAAAGTGGCATAAGCATGTAACCTCAACATTCTGGAGGCTGGGGCGGAGAAAGGCAATTGAGGTTAGCCTGGACTACAAAGAAAGTTTGAAGCCTGCCTGGGCCATGCAGTGAGACCCTGCCTCAACCAATGAATAGATAAATAGGCATGACCTGTGCCCAGGGAATTTGCTGGCAGGTTAAATCCTATTTGGAAAAGGCAGTGCTAGAGCATGGGGTTTCCTTGATACCAACATGTTGTCATGTGAGATACAGCACTCCCCAGACTGAGGTGGGAACCAGCTGGGGGTGGCTAGGAGATAACAAGGCCCTTGCATGCCCTTCAAGCCGGAAGAAGGCAGTGCTGTGGGCTGGGGCAAGCGGTGCCGGCTCCAGGTAGATGCTGAGCACTGACTTCAGAGTCAAGAGGAGGGCTCATAGTCCCTTTCTGTAACTAGGGATAGGCACTTGCTGTTTTAATCGTGGGACTTCCTCATCTGTGAATCATCCACAGTAACTGTATCCCAAATGGGATTGGGGTAAGAATGAGGAACCAACTCACTTTTCTCCATTTATTACTTTTTTTTTTCCTTAGAGAGGGTCCCACTAAGCAGCCGTGGCTGGTCTGGAACTCACTATGTAAACCAGGCTGACCTGCCGCTTCCTACCAAAGGATGGGATTAGAGGAATGTGGTCGCCACCATACTGGTCTGTCTATAACTGTTACGGCTTGAGAGTTCTAATCTCAAAGGAGGGTCGGGAGGCGGGGGGCGGGGGGGGGGAGCACTGGTCTCCATGTTAGGCATCTGAGAAACAGTAGGTGCTCTAGTCAACAATAGTGTGGGGCTAGCAAGGCTGACTGCCTCTGTGAGGAGAATGAAATCGCTTTTGCCTTCCTCAATCTTTCCCGGGTATGGTGGGCAGTTAGGGTTGCAGCGTCGTTGAGGGGTCTGCGCCCTAGAAGGGGCCCTTTCCACCTACTTCCTACCTGAGAAAGAAGGAGAGACCCAAAAGTTAAGCTAGAAGGAAACCGAGGGGCAACCCGACTGTCCCTGGGTGAACGCATCTTGTAAGTTCCATCAGTTTGCATTTCGGATCTCAGGCCCAGAGTTTCTTTTCCTCGGATGATCTAGAGTGTCCCCAACGCCTTCGGGGCAGGGCGTGGCGGAGAGAAAACTTGAGTGGCCCCAGAGGCTCTCCAGCTTCGTGTCCTACTCTGAGTGGGTCTCACAGATTCCTACCTATGCTAAAAAGAGACCTTTGCCGCCGGTGTCTTCATCTTTCCTGCTCCCGAAGGTCTGCCCCCCCCCCCAAAAAAAATGTCGGCTCCTCTGCAAAATCAGCTCGCGTTGCGGTTGTGGACTCTTGTCAGAACGCCCGCACCTTTCCCCAGCCCCACACCCGGGAACGGACCCTGGCACCTGCCCCTCCCCAGCAGCCATTACACGATGTTCACAGAAAGTTAGTTTTCAGTCTCCTCCTCCCTCTACCCACAACCCATCCGGGTGCCGGACTGGAAGCATCTTGAAAGTAGGAAGTCACTCTCCGACTGGCCTCTGCCTTGGGACGTTCTGGTCACTTCCTAAGGGATGGAGCGCAGCCGGGGGGAGGGGGACGCGGACCGGTGCCGAACCCAAGCCGCCGACCTGGCTGCCCAGCCCGAACCTTGGGATGGGGGCGGGGGTAGGTTAGTACTTCGCCCTCTAGGGCAGGCTCCAGCCTAACCCAGCCCACCCAGCTCAGCTCCGACTCCCAGAGGCGTGCCCACCCAGCCAGGTGATCTCGAACCTTCTCTATCACACACCCCAACAACAAACAACCCTCGGCTCTCTCCATCCGGAGAAAGGAGGTGGAGCCTGACCTCAGCCGGAGGCTGCCGCAGCTACGGGGAGGGGGGGGGGCTCACTACTCCAGCCCTTGGGGGCAGTCTTTCCTCCTGGGGGTGGCAAGGGTGAGGGCCTTGGAGGGCTCCCAAGGGTCAGGAGAGCCCTCCCCCAGCAGTGTCGACCCTCCATCGGCAAAGGGAGACTGCAGAAGAGGTGGCTTTAGTGTCTGTGCCTTTTGACTGTCCCTCTCCGGCAGAACTGCCCTCGGGCCCCTCTCCGCCATTTATGCCGTCCCCCCCACCCCCACCCCCACCCCCTTCTAGCCTTAAGGGCTGGATGAACCTAGGTGCCTAAGCGGGCGGTAGAAAGAAGATGCCGCTTTGCGGCGCTCTAGAGAGCCGAGGTGTGCCCATCCCCCCCCCATATCCCTTGACGGGTGGGGGTGCAGGCGGACCCCAGGGACGCCGACAAGGGGAGGAAGGAGCCTGAAATAGGTGTAAGCAGCAGTTGTTGGCATTGCAGGGAGGCAACTCGGGTGAAGGGTAGAGAATGCCGCTTAAAGAGAAGGCCAGGGGGACCCAACGAGGATAGAAGTCCAGTGTCAAGGGAAGGAGAATGCAGAAACAGCTTTCGCTGCGAGGGGCAGCTGCAAAGACCTCCCTGGCTAGCAATCTGGAGGCTAGCGCTGGACAGATGGGGGTTTTGGACACAGCACCATGGCATGCGGCCCCCAAAGTCTGAGTGCATGCGGCTTGTGTTAAGACCGGTCCCACACAGGCCCCCCACTTCACCCTGATCCCCCGGACCCAGCCTGTGGCAATAGGTGTCCTTAGGGAAGAGAAGCGATCCTCTTCTTTGATGGGCACTCAACAACTGGCTTCTTGGTGGCAGGAGGGGCCCATCCCCTCCGGCTTAGTTAGAAAGGGAGTACTTGTGACTCTCCCATCCCTAGGGAAAAGAGGCCACAGCAGGTAATAACCAGAGTTCTACACTTGGCTTTGCCTGGGGGGCAAATAATTTCCGGAGGTCCCTTTAAGGAGGGGTGTTCTGATCCCTTTAAGAGGGAGCGGGGGTCCCAGCAAAAAGACTATGAAAGACCAGCTTTATTTCCCCACCTCTGGGGGCTTCATTTGACGGGGGAATGGGGCAAGTGCTGGCATCGAATTTAATCCATGCCAAGGTGTCCCTCCACGAGAGAGGCAGTCCTTCATCTTGTCCAGTGGAGATTAGGGGACAGGTTGCTCAGTGTTCTGGGACCTGGAATTTGGAGGCTCCGAGGGGAGGCAGGGGAGAGCTGCCTGCCCACACCGGGAAAGGAGAGACCTGGACATGACATCGAGGCAGGTGAAAGCGGTCAGTGCCACCTTCACAGAAACTGCGCTGTGGGCTTGGGTGCCCTGCCCGTGCCAGGTGGCTGGATCTCGGGGCAGGCGGTCTGCTGGGACTGCAGCGGCAGCTGGGGGGAGGTGCCTCGCCGCTGAACTGGGGATGACAGAGCAGCCAGTCTGTCCCTGCTGTCTGTCTGGTTGTACTTGGTGGGGGAGGGGTGTGCAGCATGCTCTCTGTGGCCCTGGATGTTCTCCTCCAGGCATCCATCTCCCGAGGCTGTGCTGCTCCGAGGCAGCTAACCTTTACTGAAGGGTCTGGGGGTGACTAGGTAGAGAGCAAGCCTCTGCTTGGGGGGCGGGGGCGGGGTGGGAGGGGGTGGTAGTTTCTGGAGACCTGATGGATCCATTCCTCTTTCCAGACCTAGTGACAAACCTTCTTCTTTGGCCAGAGAGGGGAAAGGTGACGGCCCCCAGGCACTGGCACAGCTGTTCTGGTGGAGGAGCCGCATGCTCTCAAGAAAGGCTGGAGGAACTATGGGAGCTGGGGCCTTTTCCTGAAGTGGAGAGAAAGGCTCTGGATTGGGAAGGAAGACAGTCCAGATGTAGAGGCTCCTGCAAACGGAGTCCAAGACGACAGGAGGCCAGAAACTACCCTCTGGGGTACAAGCAACCCGTATAATAAGCCCGGCCTCCTCTTAGCTGGCTGGTTGACCAGCTTTAAAAAGCAAGAGAGAAGGGGACCCAGGGAATGCATGGGCTGCTAAAGGAGGAACATCAAGTGCCCTTAGCAAGCCTGTGCTCCAGTCTCCCCACACCCTCAGTCATAAGCCCACTGAGCCTGAGCCTCCTCGGGCAAAGGAGCCAGCCACCACAGGGAAAGCTGAGGACAGTTCCTTTGGCTGTGGAGCAGGCTGGGCAGTCTAAGTAGCTCCTGGGGGCTTTGCCTCCTCCCAAGTCAGGATTCTCTCTTCCCTCCTGCCTGGGTCCCAAATATGTCAACTCTTCCCTCTCGGACCAGGATCACAAGGGTTTTGCCTGAAGGTGCCAGGGAGACGTCCACTCCAGCCATGCTCTGTCAGTCCCCAGGCTGAAAGTGGCCTGCTACTTGAGGCTCCTTCCCTGTGACCAGTTACATTCCTTTCCTGATTCGCAGTCCCAATCCCCCCATGATCAGAGATAAAGCAGCTGTGTTGGAGGCTGCCTTATTGCCTCTCCTGCTGCAACCTTCGGAAGCTTCGGTGGCCATAGGTGCCCTCTACTCCCGATCTGATGAGGACTGAGGTCTACCGTGAGACATGATAATGGACTTGGCTGAGGACAGGGGCTAATTCTGTGAGACCGGCAGTAGAGCTGGCCTGTGTGTGTTGGGAAGGACTGCTGGGAATCTTTGCCTTGGGAGGCTCAGAGAAGGGAGAAGTCCTTCAGTGTCCTACTTTCCAAGGTTTGGGATTTTGCCTTCTCTAAGGATGGGAAGCAGAAGGAAGGGTAGTGGTCCTAAGAGAGTTTGGCCCTTTGAGAAGTTTGTGCACCAAGGTTTAGCACGGCCTTTGGTAAACCATGTCCTGTTGACCAGCTGGGCAGTCTGGGGGCCCGGGAGCAGTTCTGGGGGCAAAGGAACTGTCTTTTTCTTTTCTTTTTTCTTTTTTGCGAGGGAGGCTACTGCCCAGCCACAGGGGCTGGCAGCCCTAGTTACCTTCAAAGCTGCCCGGGTCAGTGCTCCAGTAGCGTGGTCTGGGAAAGGTGGGGCATCGTAGATGGTGCAGGAGAAGCCCCTAAAGCCACTCTGCAAGGCTCGGCTTTTCCTGCTTATTAACCAGGCTTCCTCAGCACTCTGGGCGCTTCTCTGCCCTAGGCGTTCCAGGGCCCAGCCCCTCCCCGGCTGCTCCCAGGCTCGGGTGACACTACCCTTTCTGCTCCTGCTCCTTTACCTCCCAAAGCGCCCCTCCCCCGCCTGAATTGGGAATGAGGCTTTGTTCAGGGGGTGGACTCGGCATTTCTCAAGAACCTACTGTGTGCACGTTACAGCTCCTTGAAGTGAAGTCCGGGGCTGGCTCTGGCGCGACAAGGTGTCCAGGACCCAGTTCCTTCCCGCACCTCACAGGGACCTCCCACCCCTTCGTATGACCTCAGCCTGCTGTGCCCACCCACCCAGCTGACCCCGAGAGCGTGCTCAGGCTTGGAAAAGCACGTCTGTGGGTGTGAGAGCCGGAGCCACAGCAGAAGGTGACTATGGGGAAGCTAGGTAAGTGTCTGCCTCGGTTCCACGCTGGCTTGGGGACGCGAGGGAGGGTGTCCAGCCGCGCCTGTTGGGCTGCCCGCCCCTTTCCCCCTCCCCCGAAGAGCTAGCTCTAGGTTCCCCGCGGTGGTGGAAGAGGGTGTGTGGGTGTCAAGGACTCACAGACCAGGCTCTGCTGTCAGCTGGAAATGGATGAGGGTTCCACACTCGGCTTCTGAAAGAGGGCGAATTGGGAGCCGGGGTGGGGGGCGGTAGGTGAAGGGCAGAAAGAGGGAAAAGAGATGCGGGTGAGGGGTTACCGAGCCAGGACCGACCTTGCTAGGGAGGAAAGGAGACGTGGCAAGCAGGGAAGTCGGAAAGATGAGGCAAGGGCGGGAGGGGCTTCTCAGCAGTCGGGGCCCTTTCGCGCGAGTCTGGGGCCCTTTCAGCAGGAAAGGGGGTGTTGTTCTTGCTTGATTTTTCTGCTGGTCTTCCCGAAGCTTTGCCCCGGGGGCAGCAGCCTGAGGAGGGTGGGGTGTCCCTCGGCCCGCAGTTGACTGGAGCGGGTGCTAGAGAGGTTACCAGGGGAGAGGGATGTAGAAGGGTGACGGTCAGGGCGGGGGCGAGCTAAGATTTCTCAGGGTGGGGGTCTGCAGCTGAGGGGCTGGGGCTTCAGGGTCAGGTCACCATGGGATACGGACTCGGGCTCCGAAGACGCGGAGCAAACCCAAGAAGCCGGCAAAGAAAATCATCCCCCGCCGCCACCCTTGGCACCGTACCCCTCCCCCCAAGCCCCACCACTCCCCGCACCGCCTCCCCCGGCCGCCTCGTGCTGCCCCCTGCGTCGGGACGACCGACCCGTGATTCTGATTGGTTGGATACCGGGAGGGGGAGCCGAGGGCCGGATTGGCTGGCGGGGCCAGCGCAGGACGGGGCGGCTGATTGGAGGAGCTTGCCGAGGGGTGCGCCGCTGATTGGCTGAGTACGAGGAAGCAGGAAGGAGGGCGGCGGAGGCTCCGCTCTCGGGGAGTTTGTGGGGGAACCGCGAGCGGCGTAGCGGATCCCGGAGCCCGGCCCCCGCTGCCTGCCCGTCCGGCCGCCTGCCCCGCCCGTCCGGCCCTT